GCCTCTCCCACTCTGCCTGAGCACCTTCTGCGGGGCAGGGAGAGCTCCGTGCTGGGCCTGCCTGGGAGCCGGGATGCTGAGAGCCAGCACGACCCCAGCCCGATGGAGCGATTCTTCATCCCAGCACAGCCCCAGTCCACATTGACCGCTCTCCCTGGAGAATTTCCTCATCCCAACATAGCCCCGGGTGCTCCCACTGGAGCGATTCCACATCCCAGCACAGCCCCAGCCCGCACCGGCCGCTCCCATTCCAGCACGGCCCCAGCCCGCTGGAGCGATTCCACATCCCACACCACCCCCAATCCTCACTGACCGCTCCCCTTGGAGCGATTTTTTATCCCAGCGCAGCCTCAGTCCACTCTGATGGCTCTCCTTGGAGAATTTCCTCATCCCAGCACAGCGCCGGGTGCTCCCATTGGAGGGATTCCTCATCCCAGCCCAGCCCCAGCCCGCTCCGGCTGCTCCCGCTGGAGCGATTTCTCATCCTACACCAGCCCCAACTCTCCCCCTGGAGCATTTCCTCATCCCAGCACGGCCCCGGGTGCTCCCCCTGGACCATTTCCTCATCCCACACCACCCCCAGTCCACACTGACCGCTCCTCCTGGAGCGATTCTTCATCCCAGCGCAGCCTCAGTCCTCACTGACCGCTTCCCCTGGACCATTTCCTCATCCCACACCATTCCCAGTCCACACTGACCGCTCCCCCTGAAGCATTTCCTCATCCCAGCCCAGCCCAGCCCGCACCAATTGCTCCCACTGGAGCATTTCTTCATCCCACACCAGCCCCAGTTCTCACTGTCCGCTCTCCCTGGAGCGATTCTCCATCCCAGCACAGCCCCAGCCAGCACTGACCGCTCCCCCTGGTGCGATTCCTGCTCTCAGCAGAGTCCCAACCCGCACCGGCCGCTCCCGATGGAGCGATTCTTCATCCCAGCGCAGCCTCAGTCCACTCTGACCGCTCTCCCTGGAGAATTTCCTCATCCCAGCACAGCCCCGGGTGCTCCCACTTGAGCGATTCTTCATCCCAGCACAGCCCTGGGCGCTCCCACTGGAGCGATTCTTCATCCCAACCCAGCCCCAACTGCTCCCCCTGGACCATTTCCTCATCCCACACCATCCCCAGCCCGCACCGACCGCTCCCTCTGGAGCGATTCTTCATCCCAGCGCAGCCTCAGTCCTCATGTCCACTCCCCCTGGAGCGTTTTCTCATCCCACACCAGCCCCAGTTCTCACTGTCCGCTCTCCCTGGAGCGATTCTTCATCCCAGCACAGCCCCAGCCCGGGCCACCCACGCCGGGCCACCCACATCGGCCCTGGTCACCCAACCACCCCCAGCCCTCCCCACGCCACCGCTCCATTCACACGCGCCGACTAGTGAGTCACAACCTTTTATTTCCAGCTTTTCCCCCCGTGTGGAACGAGCTCATTCCTGCGCTTACAACTATTTATTTACAGAGTGCTGGGGCTGCGCGGCGGTGGCGGGGACCGGGGCCACCCCCGGGGTGGAGAGAGCGGGGCACGGGGAGGTGACAGCGGTGGCGGGACGCGATGGCACGGGGACAAAGCGGGGGACAGTGGCGGCCAGGCGGGGGWAGGGCCRGTCCCTGGCCTGGCACGGGGGYGGGCAGAGGARCCGCTCCCAAAAAGGAGCCGCAGCKCGGTGCCAGCGGCTCCGGGGGACGCGGTGGTGGCAGACGGCGACGTCATGCGAAGGAGCAGCAGTGACAGGCGCGGGGCAGGGTCCCCCCGGGGATCTGCCAGCCCCGGAGGTGGCAGGAGATGTCCCCTCCCTTCCCGGAGCTCCCGCGGGTCCCTCCCGCCTCCTCCTCCTCCTCCTCCTCCTCACAAAATCAGGGATGTGTAACCGACGGGAACCAGGCCGCTGCTGTTTCCATGGCAGCAGCGGATCCAGTCCTCGTCCACGGTGGACAGCAGCTCCAGGATGTCCCCTTTGTGGAAGCTCAGGTGGCCCTCGGCGGTGCCCGTGTGGTCACACAGCGCCCGCACCGCCCTGCGGCACCGATGGCATCGGGGACTCGCCTCGTGGGGACCCCGAGGGTCCTCAGGGGCTCGGGGGGGAGGGGATTGGTGACACGGGTGGAGCTGGGGACATGCTGGTAGCGGGGGTGGCACCTGAGGAGGGACCCGGACAGAGCCGGAGCRGAGCGGGAGGTGTGGGGACACCGGAGGTGACACAGAGGGCACGAGGGAAGCAGCCAAAAACCGCTCCAGGATTTGGGGAGGGAGGAAGGGGAAAGGACAGCACTTGACCCCGATCCTGCGGGGAGGGACGGGGGGATCCCAAAACCCCTGCACGTGTTGACCCCGCTCCCGTGAGCGCACAGCTACGACCACAACCCAAAACAAGCTGCCACGAGCCCGGAACGCACACAAGAAAACGCTAAAAATTCCCCCAAAAGTATCTGGGGACGGGCAGGCAGAGGCTCAGGGTCCCTGAAAACCCAGCAGGAGAGGGGGATCCTATGGGGTGCAGTTATGGGGTGCAGTTATGGGGTGCAGTTATGGGGTGAAGTTACAGGATGCAGTTACGGGGTGCAGTTATGGGGTGCAGTTATGGGGTGCAGTTATGGGGTGCAGTTACGGGGCACAGTTACAGGATGCAGTTATGGGGTGCAGTTACGGGGCGCAGTTATGGGGTGACGGTGCCTTTCCCTACAGCCCCTGGGACCCCAGACCGTGTGTGAGAGCTTTCCCCCCACCTGAGCACTCACCTGTGGCTCTGGGGTGGCCCAGGGGGGCTCCTGTCCGGCTGCTCCGGGCCACGGCTCCGCTCGGACGCCAGGCCCTTGACCAGCGCGGGGGCCAGCCAGCGGGACGGCCTCCTGCACAAAGCAAAGGGAGCCACGGGCTCGCCCGGGAGCTCTTCCCTCTGTCGGTCTCAGCCCATTTTGGGGATCCGRGAGCCACCAGGACCCATGGAGCCCCGCTGAGCCTCCCCACGAGCTGCTGCTGCTCCACAGCGAGCTCCGGACCCGGGCAAGGAGCACCACGAGACCCTTCCCAGCCCAAACCCTCCGCCCACCTAAGCTGGGCCTTACCTGGACCTGGCCAGGATGGAGTCMGGGCTCTGGGGGAAGCTCCTGGACGAGGGGTTGGTGGCTCCGAAGAGCCGGCCCAGCCAGCCGCCCTTGTCAGCACCAGGAGGGTCACCAGGAGGGGCTGCCCGGCTCCTGCTGGCCCGAGGCTCCGCGGGAGCAGCCGGGAGATTCTTTCCAGCAGAGGGATCCTCCAGCTCGGGGAGCGCTGCTGTTCCAGAGGGAAGGAAGAGTTCTTCAGGCGAGGAGGTGCCCGAGGTGTCCGTGCTGCTGCAGGGCTTGGGGCCAGAGCGTTCGGGGATGGTTTTGGTCTGCAGCAGCTGCAGCTCCGTCCCTCGGGGCTCAGCCGGGGAAGTTTGGGATTGCACAGCCTGACCCGGGCYGGGATCCCCCGCAGCCGCCCGCAGCTTCGTCCACCACACCAAAGGGAACTTCTCCTTGCTGGGAGCAGTGTAAACCCTGGAGCTCTGGCTCAGCTGGCCCCACCAGCCGCCCAGGCCAGCCCCAGTGCCCGCAGAGCCCTGCTCGGGCCCCCGGCTCTCCGGGGCGCTGTCAGACCCCAGCAGGGCACGGCCGAGCTGGTCACCCCAGCGCAGAACGTGCTGGAAGGTTTGGTGCAGGGCAGCCCCCACGGGCGGGGTGGGGACCAGCCCACCCATGGAGGTTTGGGGCCGCACCCTCGGGGTGCCCCCTGCGCCCCCCACCCTGCCCAGAGCCCCTGGAGGGGTCTCATCCTCCGGGCTGTGCAGTGACGCGGCCCCGCGGTGACGGGCGGGGGACAGCGGCAACTCTGGCCGGCGGGACAAGGGCCGGACGTCCACRGAGAGGTGGTGGTGTTCGAAGAGCAAGTCCAGGTGGAAAGTCAGCACCGACAGGGGTTGGATGAGCAGCAGCAGTTCGTCGGCGAGGTGGGGGAGAGGGCCTTGGCTCAGGGCGAAGAAAGCCGTGGGGGAGTAAAGCACGGAGATCACACCTGTGGGGACAGGGACAGGGACAGGGACAGGTGGGACAGGGACAGGGACAGGTGGGACAGGTGCCACATTTCCCCCTCAAGAGCCAGCGGGCTGTCCGAGTTTACCGGACAACCTCCTGTGC